GTAGAAGACAGAGATGAAGTTCTCCCTTCATCATCCATTTATTCCATTTTAAATTAGTATGTCACCTGTGATAAATCAGCGATCAACTCCTTAGTGAGACAAATAATTGGATGAAGGCCACTGATTGGCTTCACCTCGCACACAGTCTGTGATAGACAGACTCAGGAGTGGCATTGAGGCTCAAAGAAAGACTTCATTAACGTTTCAGTTTTGGCCTGTCATCCTGCTGTTGGACCCCATAAGTAATCTTGACACTCTGTAATTGCATAGCTTTCAGAGGATCGCTAATTATGCCTCAGTTTCCACATGTTTCACACACAGCTTTTGATGCTACCAGTTTTCCGGCATGTCATCTTTTTAATCTTTCCCATTCTGGTTTAATCTTTCCCATTCCAGCTTCACTTCTACAAACATTCTTCTTAGTCTGCCATGTTCCCTTCTGTTCCCTCTAATTCCCTTCCTTTCCTTGTTTTTTCTATATTTTTCTCCTTCATCTTTCTTCTTCTCTCTCTATCCAGTCCTCCAGTTCCTCTCAGGAGAGGCTGAACCAGCTGCCCTCCCAGCCCACCATGGACGAGCTCCACTTCTTATCCAAGCACTTTGGCAGCACTGAGAGCATCACAGATGACGACGGGGGCCGCTGCTCCCCCCACATGCGCCCGCGCTCCCGCAGTCTCAGGTCAGCAGCCCCATCAGCAGCAGCAGCACGCCAAGAGATTAAAAGAGTGTCTGCTGCCAAAAAAACTCTTATCTCATTTACTTCTTTTTCAATAATGTTCCAGAATGCTCAGAAATCTGCCTTTTTTTTTTAAATGGAAAGCAATTCTTGTTCACTTTTCACAAAGCTAAGAGCTGACTTAAAACAGGAATGAAGCAAAATTGCAGCCACCAATAAACAATAACATATAATAACAAATGCTTATCTAGACTCTGATAAAGATTTAACAATGAATTTAAGATTTATCGAGACTATCTGGATGCAGACGGACAGGAGACCGTAATATAGAGGACTAGCGCATTAGATATCAACATATTTTTTCTCTCCAAAAAGTATTTTTTAACCTTTTATACAGTGTAGTTTAGTATGCTTTTTATAAATAGGAAGGAAAGATGTCTGTCTTGTTTCATAAAGTTCGATATTGTGGTTGTGCTAAGTAGCAGATGGTATAGATGATTTTAGCGGTGACAGGGACCCCCGGGGGGGCCCCAAGACACAAAATGATGGTGTGAAATGGTTTACATCATCATTTGCTCCTTGAGGTATATGGAGGCCCAAATACTGTATATCATGAAATGCATAAATGTGAATGACCCACAACATAAATAAATGTACCATTAAGTAAGCAGATATATAATTTAATTATTTATTTATCCCAAAACACAATTCAAACATAAAATATACAGCCAAGTTATACAATTAAAGGTTAAATTAAATTAAATGTTACAATATATCATTAGAAATATATTTACATTTAAGAAATAGAATGTTAGATTTTGTTTTGAAAAGTAATTTATTAAAAAAATTAAAATAATATTGTTTTTATGAGTGAAGAAATAAAATGTGTTTTTTGGAAAACCCCTCTCACAGACCATGCCAAAGTACTGCATAACTGTGAACTGAAAAGAAATTATGGATGCTTTATATGTTTTCTTCACAAGTGAAAGTCTAAAAAAAAATGTATTTTTTGGTATGTTTATGGGTTGAGTCATTCCAAGTCAGTACTTTGTAGAACAACATTAAACTACAGTTACAGTAATTGGGATATAATAAGGATGTATATTATCAGCTTTTTTCCCTATTGTAATTTTTGTGCATTCTAATTAGTCTGTAACAGCAGATTTCTCTAAAATTTGTACATTTATTTGTACAAAATATGATTTTTCTTTGAAGGAAGTATTGATTTTTCTGTGTGCCACAGATTTTTGCATTTTATCTTTTTTAATTCATATTTTTCAGTTAAATGGACCTAAGGAAAACTGCAGATAAGAGCCATGAGAGAGAATACAACTGACTTTATTATATTTTTTTCTTATTTTACTATTTTAAAGCAATGATTGGTATGATCATAGAGCAGCTCAGTAATGCATTTTCAGTTTATAATGCATGCCCTTTCATTTATGCATTTATCCTAATAAGTTTATTAATAATATTCATATAAATTTTTTGTTTAAAAAAAAAAAAGCAATGCGTTAGTTCTTGGCTCAATAGGCTCTGTTCATTTCAATATTTTTTTTAATAAACATTTAACCAGTACTGCCCTCAGCTTGTAGCAAATTAGTTTTTTTGGCCCACAATGTGTTTGACTTTGACATCCCTGCTATAAGGTATAGATTATAATGTTTTATTTAATCTACATTATGATTCAATTTGGTTGAAACAGTGATCCCTTTTTATCAGGATAAAAGTAATCAGCTTCAATGTATAATCAGAAGGTTAGGGAAATACTGTGCAGATATGGAGCAACTTCAATACCTAAATATATAATATAAGCATAGCTTTCCAAACATTTTACTTTTCTAACCTAATCCTGTTTTAAACCTCCTCTCAACATTTCTCCCGACCCCTCTGCTGATTTCCTTGACACCAGTAAAGTGACTTCTAAAGTAAACTGGTATCGCTAGATTTCGTTTATGTATAGGCTATAAAAGTAAAGAGAGGTTTTTGAAATTTAAAATTGTTTTTTTTTCTTCTTTTTCTTTCACAAATCACAGTGAAATATGTTGAATTTTGTTCATGACAAAGTCTGAACACGTTTGCGGCTTATTTTGCAATACAGTATATATTAACATAGTTTTAATTTGACTCTGAGATCATACTATGGCTATAAAAAAA